TTGAAGATGTATCATGGGGGTGTTGCAACCTAGAAGACACAAATTTAACTAACAAGTTATAAGTACATGAGTCAAAAATTATGGAAAAGTAAAAGAAAGGATTATTTCATTGTCACATTTATGGATGTTTAGATGCTTTTCAGCCTATTAAATTCTGGACTCACATAATCTTATTCTCAGATTTTTCCTGCACTATGAAAGAGGAATTTGTTTCAGAGATTCTTTTGACCAAATGGATACTGGGGGATGGGTTGGCAAGAACATGGAGGATTAAAAAACTGAGAGGCACTGTCAGTGGGCTTTCTGGTAATCAGTCCTGTCTTCATGGAGCGCTCCATTCTTCCAGGTTGCAAAGGACCTTGTAAGGCGCTTGCACCTGGAAGGTCATGCGGACCAACCTGTTGGTACCTATAGTGGAGGAACCAAGAGGAAACTTTCTACAGCCTTGGCTTTAGTGGGCAAACCTGAAATTCTTTTATTGGTGAGTAAAAGACGCTTGTCATATGTCTATGTCTTGAAATAAGGTATTTGACATTTATAAACTTTGTTTATCCTACCAGAGTTCTTCTAGGAAGTGATTTCAAAACTTGTAACTTTGGTTCGCTGAACAAATAAACGGATATAAGTAAAAATTTTCCAAGGAGACAATAAATATCATTGTAATTACAGAATTTATAATTTGATAAATTTTTTAACACATCAAGTTAAAAATTCAATAATATTTTCACATTAAAACACTATTTTAAAAGGCTATCTAAAAATCAGCAACTAATTCTCCTCTAGTATACTTCCTTTAAGAATTACTTCCTTTTGTGACTGAGATTTTTCACTCAGCATAATGTTGTGCCACTGTTGTAGAATGAGGCTGACATCAGGGTGGACTGAGAGAAACTGGGTAAATTAGGTATACTGCATTGAAGCCGATGAGGGAAGAACAATTTAAAAGTAATATAACAATTTAAGGGAGGGAAGAACAATTTAAAAGTAATATATTTTAGGGCATTATGACTTTCATGCATCGAGGAATCTCCTTCATAGGGTCACTATGAGTCACCTGTGACTCGACGGCACTTAACAACAACAACAACATGATTATAATAAGAGTTTGGAATGATGGTTGCAGAGTGGTGTATACTCGAGGTGAGGGTGGGAGGGTGCTTGGGAATTATATACCAATGAAGGAGTTTTTGTTTTGCTTTTCAAGGAGAAGAGAGAACTAGGGGTGTGGATGGGATGGGCGGGGAGAAAAGTGCAACAATGAATGAATGGAAATCTAAAATCTCTGTAAATATTCATTGAAATGAATTTTTTTAAATCCCATTTTAGAAATGGATAAAAAAAGAATTACCTCCTATATATGTATATATATACTTTATATATTTACACCATCACATTTGTGACTGTACATCTGGAGTGAATTCTGTGGATTGATGTTTGTACAACAATGATGCAGGCCATTCCATAGAGTGTGGAATTGTCCCAAGACAAAGAAATCTATTTGACTGAATGAGTCATTAACTGTAAATGGTAATTGTTAAATAATAGAACCAATACTGCAAATAATAATATTCTAACAGTAAACAAAATCCTTCTTTTTGTGCTGTATTGGATTCTAGTCACTAGACTGTGACTAAGAAGGCCACAACTCAGGAAAGTATCAGGTGAGCAACACTTGAGTATGGGAGCCAATGAGGAGTCAGAAAACCAAGATTACAAACAAGATCTCAACATTTACTGACCATCTTATTGGATTTGATTTTTATATTCCTTCTTTTTGCTCTAGGTTTACTTTATGCAAGATCAAAATTGTTTCAATTTTATCTCCTAGAATGTGATAATAAAAACGAAAGACTACAAGATTACACTACTTACAGACTATCTCTTACAACAAAGTGAAACAAGTGTATATCAAGAGTTACCAAGCTGAGGCACAAATGGAGATTTGTGCACCAATGTTCATAGCAGCATTATTAACCATTGCAAGAATATGGAAACAGCCCAAATTTCCAAACACAAACTAATGGATTCAGAAATTATGGTACATACACACAATGAAATACTATACAGCACGCAGGAGCAACAATTTTGTAAATTATTACCTAACTTAGGAGGAACTGGACAGTGTTATGCTAACCCAGTTCTACAAGGATAAATATTGTATAAAACTGTTATTATAGAATGTATATAAGGATCCAAGAAGAGTGGGAAAGTGTGGAAGCAGAGGGATGAGGATATGCAGGGGGAGCGAGGCTTAATCATGGAGTAGTACAATTTGTTGGGGGGGGGCAAGGGAAATTGAATGAATTTGTTCTTTAAAACAATGTGTTAGAATTTTGTAAATAAAGTAGTAGAAAATATTTTTTTAAAAAAGCATTTAAAAAAGTTACCAAGCTTGCTAGCTCAATACCTTAGAAAGAATTTGCTATACTTATCCTTTCCTGTCATCTCCTTTGTCAGACCTCTCACTGGCCCCAGAAACCTTCAGTCCATCCTTAAACATATATTCTCCTCCTCAGTTCCACTTGGCGTCCTAGAGCTCTATCACAGTGAGTAAAGTGGAAATCCCAGAGTTAAACTGAGCTTGACAAGCTTCAAATTCTGCACTTTCAAGGCATATTCCTCAGTAAAAGGAATGATCCATGCTGAGGACACAACCTAGCAGTTGCTGTGTATTAAACTTCCAACAAACATTTAAATAAAAAACCGTAAAAAACAAACAACTAATGTCTATCTGTGTTTCATTGACTATGCAGAGGCATTTCATTGTGTGGATCACAACAAACTGGCTGACTCTGAGAAGAATCACAGAACACTTGATTGCGCTTATGCGAAGACTATATTTGGACTAGGAGGCAGTCGTCAGAACAGGGCAAGAAAGCACTGCGTGTAAAAATTGAGAAGGATGTACACAAGGGGAGTTTCCTTTATCCATAACTTTTAAATCTATGTGCAGGACAGATTATCTTGGAGTCTGAGTTCTATGAGGAGAAATGTGGCATCACTATTGGAGGAAGACTCACCAACAATCTGTGTTATGCAGATGGCACAACCCTGTTGCTGAAATTGATGAGGACCTGAAGCACTTGCTGCAGAAGGTCAAGGACTTCAGCCTTCAATATGGATTGAAGATCAACATCAAGAAAACAAAGATTCTCACCAATTGGCTTATTGACAACATCATGATAGATAGTGAAGAGACTGAGATTGTTAACAGCTTTAATTTGCTTGGTTCCACAATCAACACTCTTGGTACCAGCAGCCAGGAAATTAGAATTAGAACTGGGAAAGTGTGCTCTCAGAGACCTCTCCAAAGTACTGAAGAGCAACGATGTCAATCTGGAGACAGTAGTCAGGTCAAGTGTGCCTGATCCAGGCTTTGCAATTACTTGCTATGCATCAGAAAGCTGGATAATTCCTAGGGATGGTAGAATGAGAATTGATGCCTTTGGGTTGTGGTTCTGGATAAGAGTATTGAATATACCATGGACTGCTAGGAGAACAAACAGATTTGTCATAGAGTGGGTGAGACCAGGCTGCTCCTTGCAGGCAAGGATTCTGAAGCTTTGTCTGGCATACCTAGGGCATGTTTTAAGGCAGCATCAGTTGTTGGAGTGGGCCATCATGTTTGGGAGGGTGGAGGGCAGTGAAAGAGAAGAAGACCCTCAATAAGATGGATTGATTCAACGGCTGGCGTAATGGCTTCAGGTGTGTCTGAGACAGTGAGATTGGCACAAGATAGAGCAGAGTTTAAGGCTGTTGTACATAGGATCGTTATGAGTCACGGGTGATTTGACGTCACATAAGAATAACAACAGAGAGTGAGGACGCCGCGCAAGAGAGCCGCCGTGTGAGGGCGAGGCCCCAAGACCGGAGAATGCTGCCGCCAGATGGGAGAACGCCACCACCAGATGGGGTTCCACCGTGAGAGGTACCTGGAAGAGACCCGGGAAGAACAACAGCCAGCCACCTACCATGGAACTCCAGAGGAGGGAAGACTGTGAGACCCCAGAGGAACGAAGACTACCCAAAACTGTGTGACCCCCCGGCAACCCACAACTGTGTCACCCTTAACACAGAGGGTGCTGCTGCATAAACCCCCAGGAGCGCCCAAACCCCGCCCTTACCACTTGGTGATAGTGTCCAAGCCCTGAGCTCCTTGCCCCCTAGTCCCTTGCTTTCCTCCCCTTCCCCCACCCTCCTTGCAGCTCCACAACCACACATCTCAACACCCACCACAGCCCTGTGACCTCAGGACACCATCTTGGATCCAGCCATCACCTGGAGCTATCAGGCAAGCTGTTGAGGAACTAACCTGGCAGGAGAAAGGCCTGTAGGATCTTATCTGTGTTTACTGGGGCATTGCTGATTGCCCAGGAGAGCACCTAAGGGCGCGCCCACAGGTGGGGAATTTGGCCGAGCTCTCTTGGGCTACACCAACGGCCCAAAACGAGCCAGCCAGCTGGCTTCTGTGAACCCTGCAGACCGGCTAGAGGCTAGTGGGTGGGTGGGAATTTGACCTTGACTTTTCAGATCCGTTGAATCCAAGAACCTGCTGGAGCAGGGGCTATTGTGTGAGGGCACCTGCGTAAGTTCCACCAGGCAGGGAACACTGAGAAAACCATTGGGTAGGAAACAGACAGCAGGAATTTGAGTTAGGACCCCTGTCGTGAACACACTGAGGCAGCAGAGGTTTGAGCAAGGTCCTCCAAGTGATTGACCTGCCCTTGTGATCACCCAGCACTTTCCCTGCCTCACCCCATTCGGCTCCATAACAGTGCCTACACGTCTGGGCAATCAACTTGCCTTTAAACGGGAGCACCTTGACCTGTTTTAGCAACAAGAGATTGCCCTAGCGGGCATTGAACTAACATTTTTCTGAAGTCATAAAGCCAGAGAAACTTACAAGTTCGGTAACTGCCGATCAGATCTCAAGAGCATTGTCTTCAGATCAAGAATAGATACCAATGTCTCAAAAAAAGCAAACAGTCATCCCACACAATATACGAGAGCAAAGCAAGATGTCACTCGCAAAGGCGATGCAAGAGCAGCAGATACCCTGAAACTAGAAAGTCTCATGGAACTTTCTGACACAGAATTTAAA